CAACATCCATACTCGGGTTCCCACTGCCATTTTTTTTGCAATGGTCCCAGCAGATAGAGCTCCCCTGATAGGTCTCTTCTTTTGGGGGGTGTTGTAAAGGGTTCAAGTTCAGGGCCCTGATTCTGAGTCATCTCCATGTCCCCAGAGGCTTGAGTAAGTCTAAAAGGGACCCATATTCATGCAAGGTACACTGCCCTGGGTACAGTTCTTTATAAGGGACCTTACTGTCATCATTTCTACTAATTTGGGGGTCATTATTTCCATTCTACAGAAGAGAAAACTGAGGCCTGGAGAGAATGAGTGACCTGGCTAAGGTGACATGGTTAGTGAGGGATGGAGGCCATGTGTGACTCCAGAGCCTGAACTCTTTCTTTTCCATGGGAAGCTGAAACACTGTTCCAGTGGCAAGCATGGATTGAGGGTCACAGACAGGAAGCTCTGGGAGGTTGGGGTCTCTGTTTTCCCTTTCACCATGCATTCACTCAACAAGCACTTATTGAGTACCTACCTTGTACCTGGCATAGTACTAGGTGCCAGGGGATTCAGCTGTGAATAGATGAACAAGGTCCCTGCCTTCACAGAACTCACAGTTTACAGGGGCATGGGAGTAGGGGTTGATGACAACAGGTGACATTTATAAACAAAGAACATGTTTTCAGAGTAATGAGTACTACCAAGGATATATAAAAAGAGCATGAGATTGGAGCAACTGGGAGTGGGGTTTTAGAGGTGCCATCGGGGAAGCCTCCTGGGGGAGGTGATGTGGGAGCCAAGCCCTTCCTTAAACAAGAAGTAATCAGCAATGGGAATTGCTGGGGAAGGGGTTTGCAGCTTGCCAAGAACAGCAAGGAGACTGTAACCAACTTTGGCATAGTGTGGGCTGGGGTTAGGGAAGTGGAGATGGATCCGGAGAGGCTGGTAGGGACCAGAGCATCCTGGCCCTGGGAGGCCACTGTACTTAGGGCAGTGCAAGTGGCTGGTGCTTAAGAAGGTACACACTGATACACATTCAGGAGAGATGGCTCAGTGGGCTCTAGGACAGTGGACTGGTGTGGGGAGGCAGGAGTGGGATCCCAGAGGTGAAGTCCTAGGGCTGGTTGGTGGTGCTTGGATTCCAGTGTTGGCAGTGAGAATGTGAAGAAAGGATAGATTGGGGATATTTTTGGTGATAAAAGCAACTCATGAACTTGCAATGGACTGGATCCCAGTGCCTAGAACATAGAAAAACTCTTAATAAGTATTTGTTGGATGATTGAAAAAAGGAATCTTTTTGGCACCAGGCTCTGTAAACACTTATGCACACCCTCTGGTATGAGATGTGTGTGAAGGTCACCCAGAATCCCAAAGGGCTTCTACGTCAAGGGGCCAAGGGCCAGAGGATGCAGGCGCTGCCCAACTGGGTTGCACACAAACCAAGTATTGGTTCTCCTTGGAGATTTGGCTAGGGAACAGCTAATCCTCCCCTCTCTCCCCAATCTCCAGCACCAAGAAAATGACAAACACCCAGCCATGATTGTCCCAGGCTCCTAACCCATTTGACATCTGCAGCAGGAAGGATGGAAGTTAGACATGCAGGACTTCCTGTAGGAAGAGAGAGAGCACTCCACTTTTCTAGGAGAGCCCTTTAGGATCTATAACATGCAGAGTGGTGAGGAATTGGTCATATGAACTCTGGGGCAGACCTTGGTGAGCAGAATGTCACATGGATTTGGGTGTCTTTGAGGACATGTGATAAGCTCCTGGTAGATGTCCAGGGTAAGTTTGGGACTGAAAGAAGACCTTGGTAATCCAAAGCTTTGGCTGGCTCTGGAGTGTCTAGCTTAGTGGCTATGGTGGGCAAGGGCTGAGTGAGGGGCGTTCTAGGTCCCACTGGCTGAAAGGAAACCTGTCTAGGCTCTCAGCCAAATAAATCATTGGGAAAGGAAGAAGAACATTTTCTCATCTGTTTAAAGTGCAACAAAGCATATCCACGCTGGCCCAGCGGGAGGCAAGGCTGAGGCCAGGTGGGTGAGGCTGGCCGGGGGAGCTCCAGTAGCTTGACCCACCAGCCTCTCATGAGCTGCCCCACTGACTTGGGCTTTGACAGCTGTACTGTCTCCCAGCTGGGCCATTGGTGGCTGTTACTGTTAACAAAAATATTACTTAATTGGTAATAAGATCATTATTATAAAGGCATATCCCTTGCTAAACCATGCTTTTGATCTTCCTGGAGCCCAGGTTGAGATGGTTTATACCATTTCACAGATAAAGAGATAGAGGCTCAGAAAGGTGAAGGGACTTCCTCAAGGTCACCTAACATGGAAATGTGAGAGCAGGGTAGGGAGCCTGCCTTCTAGTTGCCCTTGTGGGGTTGGTCCCCTTGATCCCATCAGAGGCCCTGGAGGAGACCCTAATAGGACAGATGGGCTGGGGACATTGTCCTTTGTCCAGTATGTGGGGGATGCAGGGGATATCCCTCCACTGTGCCCAAGCCCTCTGTGAGCAATCTGTGGATGGTACCTCTTCTCCTGCCCTGTCTCTGCCCCAGGCTCCCTGGAGGACCCTCCTGGGGTTAAGACTTGTTCTTCCCACCCCCGCCTGGGCTGTTAAGAGAAGTAATTTCTCTTCAACCAGCTGGATTTGAATATGGAAACGATTTGTAATTACTCCAAGTCCTCCCAGGCGGGCAGCATTATCACCAGAGTCTGGAAGGGCAGAGGCTACTGGGAAAGGAGGTGGGGAAGCCCTGATGCAGGGAGGCACCTCTAGGCTTAGCCTTTCAGAGGTCTGCCCTAGTCCAGCCAGCTCTGCCCAACTCCTGAGAGGTCCTGCTCTTGTCACCAGACTCCCACAGTTTTTCTTGCTTTGCTGACCTCTGCAGGCTGTCCTGTAAGACCCTGGGGTATGAGGGATCAACTCTGTCAGTTCCTCACTCTGTCCCACCACCAATCTTTCCTAGGGCATACATTGTTGTGGCTGGGTGAATGGGGTCAAGAAGTCAGAGGGCTACCAAGGAACAGAAAAACAGACAAAAATGTTGCTGTCTCTCTAGAGCCAGCCCCTCCCATCACCCCTCATCCAGCTGGATACTGGAGGTGGGGAGGAGGAAGTGCAGGGGGGCCTTAGGGATCCAGCTGCATCACATCTGCAAGGGACCTGCTTGGGTTTCTCTGGGTGCTGGGTTTCTAGTACACAAATGATCATGAATATTCATAAAGAGGGAGGCAGGCTCCCTGTAAGAGTGGAAGGGGCTAGGGTCCTGGAGACTTCTAAGGGTCTGTCCTGTATTCTTGTGGGCAACCCATGTCCTGATCACTTTCCCTTCGTTTGCCCAGTGACATGATTTCCTCTCACAGTGCCCAAGTAAGTAGGGGGTCCAGGATTTCCCACTGTACCAGGGCTGCTCTCAACACTTTGCATATGGCAAGGCCTGCCTGGCTCAGCTTTCAGAGTGGCAGCTGAGCTTTCAAACCCAGAGATGCCAGGGTGTTTTGAGGGTGCCCAGCAAGAATCCAGGAGACTTGCCTGTCATCGCTACTAAGTCCAAGGCACTGGCCTTCTTAGACTCCAGCAGGGAAAGGGAAGGTATCAGCCCAGCCCTCCTCCCTGCTTCATGCAGCCTCATAAATTCCCTTAAGGCGACGGGTGAGATTCCTTCATCGCTCCTTATTACCTCCTTCCATTAAAGTCGATAATCTCTCACTATCACTCACAACAAATGTCACTGAGACTGTTGGAGGGGGAGGGACAGAGGGAAGGAACAGGGGGCGGTTCTCTTTGCATCTTCCTGGTACTACCCCTGGGGACAAGTGGGCTCCTCTTATCTTTTGTCTCTAGGGTGACAAAACTCAAGATATATGGGTGGAAAGGAGGGGTTGAGATTGGGTGGACTGTGGACTTCCCATACAGGGTTGGCCCCCTTCTGGCAAGAGAGCCTTCAAAAAAGTACTTCCTGAGCCATGCCACCCTCGTTGCAAAGCTGCCCCCTGCTGGCTTCTCTGACCAGACCCATCAGATTAACCTACTTGTTTTGGCTGTGGTGGTGTGTCCCCAGTCTGCCCACCTTCCTGGTGGCAACATGCCCAGGCCGCAAATCACCTGATCAGAGCCCTGAGCCATGGGCATCTCCCTGGGTACTGCCTTAGCCATGTGGGCTCAGGCCCCACCCAACTGTTACTGGGCACAGTGCCAGGATGGGGAAGGGGCAGGTCTGTGCATCTCCATGGCTTCTACATAAACAGATGCAACATGGGGGCGCCCCTGGCACAGGGAAAGGCACTGATGGGAATAGATAGTCTCAGGAAAACATGGAACTCACTGCACACGTGTAGCATCCCCGTGCCTAGGGACATGCAACATCACAGCATTTACACCAGCGTATGCACCAGCCGTGCCACACTGCAGCATACCTATGTGGCTCCTACATAAGAATTACCCACAGCACACATGTGGCACCTGTGAGCCCGTATGCATATAGCATCCCTAAGGCACAGGAAGGAGCAACATGCATTCTGAACCCAAGCACATGTTAACGCACTGTGCACTTGCATGCTGGAGCCAGGCAACGTCTCAATGTACACGTAGGGCACCTGTATGCATATGCAAAGTTCAGTGCACATGAGTGGCAACTGCATGAACAGGGGACATGTAATAGGCAATGCACATGAGGAGCGGAGAGCAAATGCTTCAGCCTCCAGAGTCAGGGAGACCCTGGCTGTGCAAGCTGCCTCTGGTCTGGAGTATTGCTGAAGGGGCGTCGCGGATCGCTTCACTCTGCGGTCCAGGAGGCCACCGGCGGGGCGGGGGCTTACCCAGGGCTTCTCCCGCGCCGGCGCCTGGGGCCCAGGGCGGGGAGGGGGAGGGAGCGCTTGGCTCGGCTGGCACAGCTCCCCCTTTAACAGGAGGCGGCGCGCGTCGCCCCCGCCCCCCCGCCCCTTCTCCCGCGGCTCCTCGCGCCCGGCCCGGCGCGCGCCCCCTCCCGGGCCTGGCCCGCGCAGGCGCCGCGTCCCGCCTCGGCCGTCACTCGGCCCGGCGCGCGCTGCGGGCAGCGGCCGGAGCGGCCAGAGGAATCCGGTTCGGTGGCGGCGGCGGCAGCGTTCGGAGACCGAGGAGGATGCGGCACCGGCATTCAGAGCTTGGGGCTGCGGTCGCTCGCGCATAGGAGGCGGCGCGAGGCGCGGGCGGTGCTCAGGGCGGGAGAGTTGGGGGGGGGCGGCGCGGCGAGGAGGCGGCGGCGGCGGCAGGAGCCCGCGCCCGGCCGGCGCCCGCCCGCCCGCCTGCCCCGCGCTGCCCCGCGGCGCCTTTTCTGCCCCCGCCGCTCCGCGGAGCGGGAGCCTCGGCCCTCGGCGCGGCTGCAGAGGGCTGCCCTGCGCCTGGCTTGGCCCCCGCCTTAGGGATGGCAAACTTGCACCCCGTGGCCGCCTCCGCAAGCGCCGGCCCCCGCTCCTGCTGCTGACGGCGCCCAGGTGAGTGTTTGGCCCCAGACCCTGACCTGCACTGAACCCTAGCGGCGCGGTCCCGAGTTTCCGCACCAGCCCGCACTCGGGGCGCTCTCCGAGCCTATCTCTGCTGGATTCTCCCCCAGCCCGAACTGAGTCCGTTCAGCGCTCACCCACCCCGGTCTTTTTGGGAACTCCCAAGCCTGGGGCCGAGGCCCCCTTCGTCTCTGGTGAGTCCCTTTTCTGTCCCCTTCTCCAGACTGGACCGACCCCCTTACTATGTTAAAGTCCCCTACCTTTAGAATCCTGACCCAGACCATCCACACATCACAGTCCTTCCCTGTCTCGGCTCGGATCCCGGTAGTGCAACGCACTGTCTCCCCCCTCCTCCCCAGTCTTGATTTAGAGCCCCTCTCTCCAACCTGCAGCTCGACTCTCTCCCTCCCTTCCCCGTCTCCCCTCTTAGTCTGGGTGTAGGACCCTACTCCTCTCCTCCCAGTTCATCTGTGCCCAAAGTCGTTCCTGTTCCCATCCTTGTCGTTACTGCCCTCCCCAGCGTCTGTACCCCGACCATGCTTCCCCTCTATTTCTGCTCTAAGTGCCCCTTCCCCCATATCTGCCCAGAGTTCCGCCTTCCCTCGCCAATCTCCGCTGCAAGTCCCCTCCCCCCCAGCCTGGAATTGGGGCCGTGTCCCCCACATCTTCTCCAAGACCCTCTCCCTCCGGCCGAGACCTCCACTGGTCCCTCATCCCTGACTGCCGGGTTCATCTTTGGTCGGATCTCCCATCCTTCTCCCACCACTGGGCATAGAGCCCGCAACAGACGCATCCTCCCGCAGCCCCCGGGGCCGGCATGATTTGGTGGTGGTGGTGGGGTGCAGGCTGTGAAGTTGGCGGGCACTCCCGCAGTCGGCTTGGTCTGAGGGCACAGCCGCGGGAAGTCCTCCGCGCCACCGCCGGTGCAGATCCGGCGACCGGTCTGTTGCCCGCGGGGGGAGGGGCGCCAGGGCCGAGAGATGCCGCCCGCCTGCCTGCCTTGCCAGCTGCCTGCCAGGCCCCTGGGTGTCCTCTGGCGCCCCCTGCCCGCAGCCCGGGACCCGCTGCCCCTTTTCGTGGGCAATCCCGGGTTTCCGCAGCCCCAGCGTTAGCGGTGGCTGCGGGACTGGCGCTGGGAAGTCCCTGGGGAGATGAGGTTGGTAGGTGAGGCCGGGTGCCCCCTCGTGCTAGCGGTGACCAAACACTCCTGATTGTCAGGCTACATATTTTGGGGGTGGAAGGAATTGGGTGGGAGGGAGGGTTAATCCCAGCAGCAAGTCAGAAGCCTTTGAGTATCAGGCACAGATCGGCTGGATTGGCTCTGGCTTCAGGACCGTGTGGTTGGTCTTGTTTGGGGTTGGGCAGGTGTCCCTAGGGACACTCCCCACAGGGCAGTTCCAAAGTAGGCTGTCTGGCTTGGGCATTGAGTAGGCTGTTGGGGAATCCACCTGACCTGGGGACAGAGCAGGCACCCAAAGGATTGTCTCCTATGCTGCCATAGTGGTGGGGGTCATTGTGGACACTGCACAGGGTATGCACGGGTGATGATGACAGGGAAATGAGAGACCAAGATTGGCAGAAGGGCTCTTCTCCTCTTCTTCTCTGCCCTCTCCCCATCCTCCTCTCTCCTTCTGCCCTCTCCCCACTGCTCTTCAAAAAGGGAGTGTGTGTCAGTGGTGGGCATTTCTGTAGCACAAAGGTAGGTCCCAGCAGATCTCTTCTCCCCTCCCTCCCTCCCAGTCTCTGATATTGAAGCTGAGTAAGTAGTTAGGAACTTTGCTTTTGACCTAGGTTCAAAAGCTGTGTGACCTGGGCAAGCTACTTAATCTTTCTGAGCCTCAGTTGACCCTCTATAAAATGGGTCAGTTATGGCTGCCTCATATAGTTGGTTGGGAGAATGAAATTTGATTTTTCATATAGGGTATCTGGCACCTATCAGTGTTCAATAATGATAGGTATGTTATGCTATTTCTTTTCAAAGCCAAGGTCAGAGTCCCGCTCCACTCCACTCCTAATGCAAAACAGGTTCTAGTCTCTTCACTCCAACCTGCAGGGTAATAAAGACAGAAAATATCTTCAGCCCTCCCCCCTGCAAGGGTACTGGTAACCTGTGCTTATTAGTTCCTTCCTCCCCCTCACTGGTTCTGCAACATCTCACTGGACCTCTCTAGGATCAACTCTGGCCATAGGGGCAATTATGAACTCCAGGCCAAGGGCCCTGAGATCTAAGTTCAAATGGATAGGTTGGGGAAGTGGAATCAGTACAATGTCCCCAAAGGCAGGCTGTGGGTTAGGGGTAGCCCCTGGGGAAAATCAGTCACTCTGAGGCACAGAGGAGTGCCTTTACCTGACCCCAGGAGATCAGACACCATCAGGAACTTTCAATGGCCGTTAGCAGCTGCAGGTGAGATAGTGAGTGACCTGGCTTGAGTTTGGAGAAACCTGGCTTTGGCGTGAGTGGCTCGGTGAGGGCGGGTAGGGAGAAGGAGGGGGCGCCAACCCGTGACATTCTGCTCTACTGGAAGTCCACTGGGTAGTGTGGTTGGATCTGGGTCCCATCTGGGAGTGGCAGCCTCCCAGCCACCCGCCCGCTGGGGCAGCCCTGACATTGGGGAACAAAAGCTTTCGGTTCCTGTAGCAACGGCGGCTCCAGCTGCTGCAAAGTTCCGGGGAGGCGGGTGGAGGGCGGCTGAGTCACCGCCCCCTCCCCTGCCGCCCTCGCGGCCCCGCCCCCGGGGGCCAGCGACTGCCCCTGGTCCCTCTCGGGTCTGCTGGCCTTTTTCTCCTTAGGGAGGTGCGGGAGGCCTCCGTAGACCCCTCTATCGACAGAAGGACCCCTAGTGTCGCGGAGCGACTGTCCCTGCCAGGCAGAAGGGGAAGGCCGCACCGGGTGGGGGAAGTGTCGCCCGCTCCCCTCGGTCCCGCCCCCCAGCTCGGGAGGCTGGATCGAGGATGCGCACCTCCCTGGGTGCCAGAGCTCGGGGAGAGGAGTCCCTGAGCATCCTGGCCCCGGCTTGGCACATGGATAGGGGATCCGGAGGCCTCGAGTGGGGGTCCCCGCCTGCGTGGCTGCCCGGGCTCCTGCCCCGCAGCAAGCACCCGGGAGGCGGAGGATGAGTGACAGGCGGGCGAATTGGAGCTGCCAGGTGGATAAACGCGACGGATGTGCGCGTCTCCGCGCCCTCCCCGACTCGCTGCCCCTCCGCAGCCCGCGGCCGGGGCTCCAGCCCCCTGCAGCCCAGGGTCCCTGTCACAGCTGGTCTAGCAGACTGGAGTCAATCCTGGGGATCCCCAGGCCTGGCCCCGCCCTGAGTTGCCCCTCCTCCGCCGCTCTAAGCCCCCAACTCTAGTCTTGTCATGGCCTTTCCAGCTGGGGAAAAAGCCTTGAGTTCATTTTTCGGTGCAGAAGAGGACCCAGAGGCTGGGCAGGCCTGCGGGGTCTGCAAGGAAGGGGACCCGAGTGTACATGGGCAGAGTGGGATTCCTGGGTGTGCTGGGGGCCTCCAGCTAAGGACAGAGTCCCTGAGACCCACGTCAGCCCAGAGAGGTCTTGAGGGAGGAAGCCTTTTGATCCTCCTCTGACCCAGGAAGTTCTTCCTCACAACCGACCTCAGTGTTTCTCCTGACTTCCTCTTGTGCATTGGAAGGGTTTGTGGTCTTCTGGGCTTGGAGGTGGCCAGCCTCCCAGAGGTTCAGAGGCAATGACCTGGACCTCAGCACGAAAGAAAGGAGGCTTTGTGAGGTTCTGGGGAGGGAAGAAAGATCAGAAAGTGAACTAGTCAGAGTTGGTGGTGGGCCAGGCTTTGTGCTGGGAACTCTGTGGGAGGCCCGGTAAGAGGGCAGAATGCTGTTTTGAGGGTAGGAATGATGGTTTCCATTCCACAGAGGGGCAAATTGAGACTCAAGGTGGTTACTCATGGCTAATAACCACTTGAGCTGCCTGTGAGGCAAGGATCCTTCTAAGTCCCCTTCCAGGGGGTGGCTCAGGGAGAGGACTTTGGGTCAGTGCTCCTAGGAGGGCAGGCTCTGGTCACACACACCAGGGAGGTGATTAATAATTAAATAACACGCAGCTTCATGTGGGTCCTTGCCTTATTTTGAGGAGTGGGAAGTGACACAAAAGGTCTTATTTTACAGCAGGAACTACAAAGGCTGTACAGGCACAGGGTGAAATCCCTGGAGGGGTGCAAAGGAGTCTGGAGGAGATGGAGTGGGCTTGGGCTGAGTTTACAGGTGGCTTAATTCTGGAGAAGCCAGGCCTTGGCTCTGAACAGTGTGGACCTAGTGTTTCTTGATGGGATGGGAATAGCAGGGGGCCAGGAGGTGGAGCCAAGGGTCCCAGCTTCAGTAACACAAGAGAAGGGGTAATGGGGTAGGATCACACCTGACACTTAGCTGGCATGTGCTGAGCCTCACGGCCAAACACCTGCGTGTGTGCCTTCACACTTGGGAGTACACATGCATCTCTGTGTGTGTGCACCCCTGCGTGCATGTGAGATCACAGTTCTGTGGTTTTCATCAGTCAGTGTGCATATCTGTGTGTACATGTGTGTCTGTTCATATGCAGAACACCTGTGAGTGCCTGCCTATACACACACCTGTGCTTGCACACTTTTGTGTATGTGTCTCAGGGCACAAGGATGTTCAAGCCCACTTCTGTTGAGGTATGTTGGGGAGGGGAGGTTCCCTGCTGTGCTGTAAGTGGGGGAGGGGAGGCCAGTTATAATGAGCCCCCACCTCCCCTCTGCTGCTGCAGCCATGGCCTGAATTTTGCAGCCTGCTTAAAAATAATTGGGGGCAGCGGGGGGATTGGATGTCACTCATCATCAGCTGCTGGCTTCGCTGGTGCTGCAGCAGGCTGGGCGGGCTGAACAGTTTGGGACAGGCATGATGTGAGGTAGAGAAGGCCAGGGATCTGGTCCCTTTTTCAGCCTCAGACCAGGGTGATGGTGGCAAGACAAAGCCTGTCCTGGTTCCAGTGGTCTTTATGGGAAGGTGGGGGAGCTCCTCCTGAGTGAATGGGGCTGCCTGGCACTGTCCTCCCTCCCCATCCCTTTGGTCCCACTCCCTGTGTGGCTGGGGCGGGGCAGTGCTTGTTTGTGACTGGGCCCTGAGGTGCAGCATGTGGGGATGTGGGATTTGGAGCTCTGCTGCAGCAGGGTTTGTAGCGCTGAGTTTCTAATTCCTGTCCCCCTCCTCCTTCTATTTGGAACAGCCAAGGGGAAATCTGTCCCCTGGGAGCAGCTGTGTCTTGGGAAAATCTAGCCACACCTGTGAGCTAGCCTATGTTTGCAATTCAGTTCCCAGATCGAATAGCTTGTCCATTTGGCCTGGATCCTGAGCTGCAAGCAAAGGAAAGGAGCAAGAGGCTCCTGGCGGGAGAGAGAGAATCGGGGGCTGGGGCTGAGGTCCCAAATTCAGTCCATTACGCCACTCTCCTGTGATCTTGAGCAGGTCGCCTCCCTTCCCTGAGCCTCATCTTTTCTTCTCTATGTGGAATTGCTGGGCTCTCTGGGCCCATGCAAGGCTGTGAACTGTGCTGCAGCAGGGAGGAGGGGGCCATGTGGGTCATTCCTGGGGGTAGGACTGGAAGTAGCGCTGATCCAGACCACATGCCAGGCCCTGGGAAGTGGGGTAGGGCTGGGTGCCTGAGGGGAATGGCTCCATCCTGGCCTGGCAGGGAGAATGGTGCCTGTAAGCCCTGTGACCTGACTGCCCTGTTAGGGTGGGGCTTCTGTCCTAGGTATCCCCCTGCCTGGAGTATATTCACATCTGCTGGGAGCTCAGCTTAGTGTAGCACTTTGGGGGAAAGTAGAAGTCATCTAACTCTGGTCCCCACTCTTCTGAGCTGAGCCCTGGGGAAAGAGCAAAGCAAAGAGCAAAGCATTTTGCAGAGGTCATGGTGGGGGTAGCAGGCTCTGTGCTAGGCCTTGGAGGCTCATCCTGTGGGGGAGATGGTAGAAGAAGAGGGACTGAGAGAGGAATGACTGCACCCATTCTGCAGATGAGGACATAGGCTCAGGAGGCTCATCCAGCCAGCAGGTGGCATCATCTTGTTGCCCAGCGCCTCTCTGACTTGTTCCAGCTAGGGAATCCACAACAGTGATACTCAAGACGTTCGCCCTGGCCATGCCCTCCCTCCTTTGGGCACAATCCCTGGCACACTGGCTGTGACTTCACCCCTTTCTCTTGTGCTCAGTGAGGCAAGTGAGTGAGAATGACATTGTTCCGGGAATAACTGAATTGCTTTGATTTATAGAAAAGCAAATCGTTGTCAAACATCACTATTTGACAATTACTGCTGGATTACCCATGACACTCCTCACAGCTGATCACGACACAGTGTGACTGAGAGCAACAGTTATGGAGAATAAAGGTGGGGTGGGGGGTGGCTGGGTTTGAATCTGAACATCTGGCTCAGATGCCTGTGGTTGATGGGCTGAATAGGAGAAACCATGGAATGATAGTGACAAAAACTCAAGCCTGTGGAAATTAAGGACTCACAAGATTCCAAGCACTCTCCTGAGCCCTTTCCTTCACTTATCTCATTTTGCCCTTGTAGGAAACCTGTGAGATAGGTGCTGTCATCACTCCATTTTACAGGTAAGGAGATAGGCTCAGAGAGGTTAAGTGCCTTGTCTGAGATCGCACAGGTGGACCTGAGGTACCTGAAAGCACATGGTTTGCACCACAGCCTAACTATCTGCAGCTGGTCATTGGAACTTCAGAGAGCTTGCTGTCTGTGCCAGGGCCTGCTGACTTCTGTCTCTCTCTACAGGGCAAGGGACATAGGATGACCCCAGCCTGTCCCCTCTTACTGTCTGTGATTCTGTCCCTGCACCTGGCCACCGCCTTCGACCCTGCCCCCAGCGCCTGCTCCGCCCTGGCCTCGGGCGTGCTGTACGGGGCATTCTCGCTGCAGGACCTCTTTCCTACCATCGCCTCGGGCTGCTCCTGGACCCTGGAGAACCCTGACCCCACCAAGTACTCCCTCTACCTGCGCTTCAATCGCCAGGAGCAGGTGTGCACCCACTTTGCCCCCCGCCTGCTGCCCCTGGACCACTATCTGGTCAACTTTACCTGTCTGCGGCCTAGTCCTGAGGAGGCGGTGGCCCAGGCAGAGTCTGAGGCGGGGCGGCCAGAGGAGGAGGAGGAGGCGGCAGCAGGGTTGGAGCTGTGTGGTGGCTCAGGCCCCTTTACCTTCCTGCACTTCGACAAGAACTTTGTGCAGCTGTGCCTGTCTGCTGAGCCTTCAGAGGCCCCGCGCCTGCTGGCACCTGCTGCCCTAGCCTTCCGCTTTGTGGAAGTCTTGCTCATCAACAACAACAACTCCAGCCAGTTCACCTGTGGTGTGCTCTGCCGCTGGAGTGAGGAGTGTGGCCGTGCTGCAGGCAGGGCCTGTGGCTTTGCCCAGCCAGGCTGCAGCTGCCCTGGGGAGGCAGGGGCTGGCCCTGCCACCACCACACCTCCGGGCCCTCCTGCTTCCCACACCCTGTCCAATGCCCTGGTGCCTGGGGGCCCAGCCCCACCTGCTGAGGCCGATTTGCACTCGGGGAGCAGCAATGACCTGTTCACCACCGAGATGAGATATGGTGAGTCTGAGTAGTGCTCAGGTGGGGTGGGGTGCCTAGGGGGCTGATGATGTCTACTGGTGTCCCTCCTGGCAGATGGTGGGCCATTCATGGAGTCATTCATGGGTGTTACCTGAATGGTTTGGGCTTGAATCTCACTCTGGAAGAGTGTGTGGGGCAGTGGAGAGACAGAGAATAAGGTAGAGACCATGGAGGGGAATCCAAGCTGGGCAGCGGGGGTATGGGGGAAGGAGGGCCTTCCTAAAGGGAGAGGAGCAGAAACAGAGACCTGCAGGACAAGTGGGAGTGACATGAGCCACAGGAGGGCATTCCAGGCAGATGGAGCAGCTTGCACAAAGGCCCAAAGCTGGGAGTGGCTGTGGCAGGCTCTGGCACTGCCAGTTGACAAGTTTGCCTGGAGGCTGGAGTAGGCAGGGAGTAGAGATGTGCTCCTGCCTACATGGGTCAATGATTTTTGGCAGTGCCCCAGGGTCGGGGCAGAAGGAGGCGAGGAAGAGTGTGCTTGGGTGAAGAGGCCTGAGCTCTGAAGTTGCCTTGGAGGGCCTGGCTGGCTCTGTTCCCAGTGTCCCATCTTCCCCCACCCCCACTGGGCCCATGTCTTCTGGGACTGAGGCTGCCAGCTGCTGGAGCTTCCTGCTGACTGGGCAAAAGCTCTGTGAGTCCTTGCGCCTGCCTGCTCCCACTCCCACCCCAGCTCCATAGCCATGGCCACCTTCCACTGACCCGCTTTCTGCAACTTTCAGGCCCCAGCCCTCCAGCTGGACCCTGGTCTGTGCTGGGCTAAGGACTGGTCCAGAGAACCAGCAAGGAATAGGTGCCAAGAATGGGGGTAGAAGGGAGGCAGGTCTAGGAGCTAGTAGCTATAAGGGGAGACTCCTCCCCTCTCTGGGCCCTCAGTTTCCCCATTTGTATAACAAGTGCTGCCTACTGTTGAGAGAGAGAATGGAGAATACAGTCAGAAGGCCATCTGGGTTCACTGAGTATTTACAAGGGACAAGAGGCTCACGTAAGCTTCTGGGAGGATTAAAGGGAGGAGCCTCTTCCTGTCCCTGCCTTTGGAGCATAGAGCCCTGAAACTGGGCACTGTTTTCTTGACTGTTATCTTGAATGACAAGGGGATCAGTTTCTTTATCTGTGAAATGGGGAGATGCCCTTGAACTAGTTAGAAGGGGATAGGTATAATGGCCTCTCCCAGTGCTTTGGTGGGGGGCCCTTCTTGGCTGCCCCCATGAGACATCTGGCATCATGCCCATCCACAGTGAGTGTCCAGTGGCCTTGCTATGGCCCCTCTCTCAGGCCAGCTTGGCCTCTAACAGCGGTCGATGAAGCCGTCCGAATGACAGCCAGACTGTGGGCAGGTTACGGGCCCTGGAGGCTGGCCTGGGATTTAGTGCCTGCAGGAAGGAATTGAATTTTGCTTCTTTGTCGAACATCAGCGGAGAGTGCCAGGCGTATTTCAGGAGGTTTATGGCTCTTCCTGCGTGGCTGCCTCTGCCTGTCACTTTGTGGGGGCCTCTCCCATTCTGCTCAGCTGAGAGTGGGTTCTTTTGTGTGGCTTTTCCTCTGGTCCATCGGCCCAATGGTCTGCAGTGGATGGAGCAAGGCTCTGCCCTCATGGACGGGCATCGGCTGGGCAGGCTGCCATGTGGAGCACAGAGCCAGGAGCAGCCAGCTGGGCTTGGTTGAAGCCGGAAGCAGGAGTTGTTTGGTAGCCGGGCAGTCTTCAGGAGTCAGAGAGAGCCAGTGATGGGAAGGGCACCATCATCAGAGCCTCTGCAGGGACATTCTGGGACTGGAGACGGATGGGGATTGGATGGCTAATTGTTCTTAGGCAAAGGCCTGGAGTCATCTCTAAGCAGGGAGCCCTGAGCTGGAGCTCCCAGCTGTTCCCAAGCCTGACCTCTGCTCCTGCCCCTTGTCCTACTTGGCACATGTCCATGTGGTTGCTCTGCAGGAGATCCCCTGTGGGGAGTTGGCATGGGAGATATGGCATCAGGTGGCATAAGTGAGCTCACATGACACACCAGTACCCAGAGCTGGCTGGCATAGCCCTTTCCTCTCCCCTTGCTGGCAGGAGGCTCTTCTGCTCTGTCACCTCCTTCCTCCTGCCCAACCTTTTTGATTCGAGAGACAGTGTGCACATGACTCAGTGTGTTCCGTGCATCAGGGTGCTGCAGGTCAGAGGCATCATCAGAGCCTCAAGCATTATGTGCGTGGTGGGAGCACTACCTTCATCAAGTCCTTGGATCCTCTTCTTTCCCCTTGCATGCCTCGCTCTGGGCTGCAGGAGAATGGGCTGCTCATGGAGTTCTAGATAGAGAGCAAGGTTTGTGAGGTTGGTGGTGAGCAGAAAAGAGACACTTGTCCCAGCTCCTCTGCTGGATACTGGGGCAGGGAAGCTGGTTTCACCTTCTCTGGGACATCCTTGAGTGATATCAGCAGCAAGATCAACCAGGGTAGGCTTGGGTTGGTACTGGAAGAGCAAGGAGGCTGGGGTCTGTGGGGCAGTGACCGAGTGGGGTGCCTTGGCCTGCCTCAGAGCTGAGTGCATTTGACAAGAGGGTACAGGCGCCTGTTAATTTCACGCAAACTGCCTTTGATAGATCTCTTGTTATTTTTGGTGAGTTGAGCCATAAATTTGTGCCATCTTGCTGCCGCAATCTGTTAAGTGTGGGGAAAGGAAGAAAAGGAAGGCAGGCAGGAAGGAGCTTGTGGAGGGCTGGCACAGAGGCCGGCTGAGGCCAGGGCTGGGAGGCGGGTGGTGGCTGAGGTAGCGCCTGCTACAGAGCCCAGCGTTTGAAGGCTGGTCCCAGCCTACAGCTCCTGCCCACTGACTCTCCAGTCCTAAGGAGGCATGGCCCATGGGGATAACTGTGCTGAGCGACACTTGAGAAGAGGAGTCCCCACATGCCACTCCTCCCTCTGCCAAATATCCCACATACCTTCGGGGTGCTGTCCTACCTTGGCTGGATGCTATCTGGGCTGGATGCTATCTGGACTCCATTCCATTCCATTCTTTTTTTTTGGGGGGGGTTACTGGGGTTTGAAGTTAGAGCCTTGTGCTTGCTAGGCAGGTGCTCTACCACTTGAGCCACACCCCCAGCCCTTTTTTGCTTCAGTTATTTTTCAGGTAGGGTCTTGTGTTTTTGTCCAGACCATCCTCAGACCACCATCCTCCTAACTACAGCTTCCCTTGAAGCTTTGATAACAATTGAGAGCCACCATGCTCAGCTTATTTATTGAGATGAGGTCTTGCTAACATTTTTTCCCTGGCTCGCCTCCAACTGTGATCTTCCGATCTTTGTCTCCCAAGTAGCTTGGTTCACAGTGTGAGTTGCCTCAATTGGCCAAATAATTTTTTGGGGAGAGGGAGTGGTAATGGAGTTTGAACTCAGGGCCTTGTGCTTTCGGTAAGCACTCTACCTTGAACCACACCATCATCCCTTTTTTAAAATTTTTTGGACAAGGTGTCACCATATAACCCAGGCTGACCTTGAATTCGAAGTCCTTCTGCCTCCTGAGTGCTGGGATTGCAGGCATAGGCTACCACACCCAGCTGGGTTCCATTCTTGAGATATTGCCATCAGGGGAGCCTAGACACTCCCAGAAGACAAGAATGGTTTCAGAGCTCATTCTCCCTCTGCTGTTATGTGACTTGGACAAGGTGCTTCCTGTCTTGGGGCCTTAGGATCTGCAGTTCATCGTGCATCACTTCCCTAATCCAGTGCCTGAGACCGCCAGCTCTGCCAAAGTTCCTCAGCCTGATAGTCAAGCCCCTTCCTGGCCCTGGCTGCCATGGTCTCTTCAGCCTTACCTCTAGTGTTCTCCTCCCTTCTCAACTGATGCCTCTCACTGTCCCTAAGGCACCATGCTCGCTGGCTTCCTTGTCTTTGCTTGGGCCATCCCCCTCACCTGGAATGGCCTTTGCCCTTGGTTATCTGTAATCTTCCCCTTCTTTTAAGCCACATACACACATGCGCTCCATCCTTGTCCCATGTAGGAAGGGCCTCTGACCTGCCCAACCTTGTCCTGAGAGTGACCTGGTTCCTCTTGTCACTCAGGCCCTGCCTGGTCTGGGGGGCAGGAAGTGGGGTACTTGCCTGTCTGGGGCTCTGGCACACTCTCAGGCAGGTATACTCTCAGGGTAGGATGGGGGAGGATACCTAGCACACAGTGGCAGTGATGTTTCCTGAAGGTCCTGTCAGCCCAGGTATGTGCTTTTGGAAGGTCCTGTGCTGTATCCCAGGATAGGGAGTGGGACTCAGGCTCCCCTGGCCCCTCACCTCCCAGCAGGGACTGAGTTCTAGCCAATCTCTTATGAGCTTGTGTCAGGCCTTGGGCTGGCTCTGGGTGAGGAAGATTGGAGGGGAGTGAGCCACCCTTTCTGCCCTCCAGTGCAGTGAGCAACCACTGGTCGTCATTGCCCAGCCCTGACCCCATACTCACTAGCCATGTGACTGTGACAAGTTGCTTCCCTGGCATTTCATCACCTGTAACATGGGGATAGTTTGTGTGTGTGTGTGTGTGTGTGTGTGTGTGTGTGTGTGTGTGTGTGTGTGAGTGAGAGAGAGAGAGAGAGAGCGCGCGCACTATTCCACTGAGTAATGGGGGAACATAGGTAAGTGCTTAGCGCAGTGCCTGGCCACTGCAGCTCATTTGCGCATTACCACAGATTGGGTAAGTTTTAAAGAAAAGAGGTTTATTTTGGCTCATGGTTTTGTTCCAAGGTCAAGGTCCTGAATCTGGTGATGGCAGAGTCCCTAGGCGGTACAGGATATCACATGGCATATGTGTGTGTACATATGTCTCCTTCACCTCTCTCATCACTAAACAAAGGTTTCACAAAACCCCACCGCTAAACACGTCTCTACTCTCTTAATACCTCACGATGGGGATTAAATTTCAACACATGAATCCTTAGGGCACACACTGAAACCCCATTCAAACCACAACACTGCTTTGTGCTATGATAGGTCCCTAGTAAATAGTTGCTGTGTTGT